TTGTCACTCTGAAGAGTGAAATCTCAATCTTAAAGATTGAAAATTGTGCCACTCTTTTTCAAGACTGACTCAATTTTCACTTTTTAGAAAGAGATTCCATTCCGAAGAATTTAGATAATACTTTTATTAACGCTATCTCTTAAACTTTCTTATCTTTTTTCCATTTCTTTTTTTATCTTCAAGCATACCTACATTCTTATGAATTCTCGTTCTAAGCTGACGTTTTTAAATACAGAACGCCAAGCGAGACGCTTTCTTTCTACCTTTGCCCTCGCTTCTTCCGCCTATTTATTTACCACCGGTTTCCGGTGTGGACTTCGCCATAATAAACCGTACGTGTACATATATGGTCTATTTCTCCCCGTTATTTTTAAACCACATCGCAGTGCGCAGTGCACTATTTCTGGCTCTAATTCGTGCGTGTCACGCGGACGCACGACGAGTACCTGATGCGAGTCCCTTCGACGTGGAATAAAAAAACTTAAGCCACTTCTTTCGATATTATATCCTTCGAATAATTTACGAAAAAAATTTACATTTATTACGAATGAAGAGCTGTCCGAGTTTTAGAGAACAAAGCGTGCTGTAATTATGATGATAAAATATTTCTTATTTCTCAGATATTAGAAAATTACGTTCTTTGTATAATAGTCACCTTAAAAATTAGGACTAAATCTTAATTCTTTGTGTTACAAGTCATTTAGGACTTGGGAATTGTTGGAAATCCGAAAATGATAAGCGCTTCAATATTTTTATTTAAAAAACTGACTTTTATGTAATTAGCCGGATGAGGCACGATTCAAAATTAAAGCCGCCGATATGAGTGAATATACTCCGGCGATAGAAATTCTTGCCTGGTCCCTGTTCTTTATCCCACCTTTTCGAATGAGTCACACTGCGTTTTCGCTTTACGGGGTGTCATTCTTGAAGTCACGTACGCGATATCGTCCCCCCTTGCTCTATCGCCACCATTTTCGGCAAATTCTTACCATCGCACACACAATGAAACCATTGTGCGTGTTATACCTAAATTTCAATACAGCATCTTCTTTCTATATAATTTCAATCTATGAAAAACGCATGAAAATCTATTTATCTACTCTGTATTTATATTTCTGAAATTTATTATAAATACAAATATTTTTATACAATTTATTATGACTATATACGATTTTAATCGAAGAGAATAGTTTTTCTATTAAATTCAAATTTTTTCTAAAGCACAAAGAAGTTGTACATAAGAAATTGAAAATTGCAAAACCGAAAGTTTAAAGATGGCACTCTAACTTTCTTCTTATTATTAGACTTTTTAATTTTTTCTTGAAATTCTTCTTATATTGAAAAACTACTTATAAATTCTTCTTATTGTTTATATTACTTCGCCTGAAAAACATTTCCATACACTGATTATTGCGAGAAATATTACTACTCGGTAGTCTAAAAGCTTAGAACGCTCGTACAGAATACAAGAGATCCGGGTTTGATTCCCAGGCGAAATAATATTTTCCGCAATAAATTTTTATTCACAGTTTTTCAGCATATTAATATCTTTTTAAATTCTTCTTTTATTAAAGAACTTATATAAATTCTTCTTCTTACATTGAATTAGATACATGAATTTTTTCTAATTTAGTTTTACATTTCTTGGTCGGCCTTTGTTTGAATTTTCCGATTAAAAAATTCCAACCAAATGATAACGTGACAAGTAAACATTATGCGTGCGTGATAAACTTGCCGAAAAGAATTTTCCGTTCATCATGCTGATGGCGACACTGCCGCGTCATTTCAGGGACGACCACAAAATCATGCCACGTGCAACGGCCAGGGTCGGCTTTAATCAAAAAGAAAACTGACTGATCATCAACGGGATCACTTTGAATATTATTTCTCATCGGTCGTAATTTTTTAATTTCTCATAATAAAATTCTTTTATTCAAGAAATCAACAAAAGCAACAATTAATTTCTATCATATTAATAATTGATATATGCGTGTATATATATATATATATATATATGTGTGTGTGTGTGTATCTAGATTTATTGTTCAATATCTCGACAATCGAAATCTTAAGTCAATAAAATTCATATCAATCTTCCTCATCACAGAAATCTAATTTCTTAATATTGGACATTACTTAACAAAATTAAACAACAATGCTTTTGATACTCAAAATAAGTAATCAATCATTATCTTCCAATATTTTTGTAAGAGATACATATCAAGTCATAATCCTAATTAATAATCATAATTATAATTATAATTAAATTTTCAGAAATTCATGTTGACTGTATAATTGTTCATATTGTATCGATTTTTTATATAATTCATTTCAACATATCAGAATGATATACGTGTAAGATACATCTGCGACAACCAATTTCTTTCTACGACTGAAGAATAGAGAACGGGGTATGAGATACTCAATATTTTATCTTTAAATCACGGAACAACATTAGTTGCTCTCATTCGAATCTATTAATCTTTTTGCTATGGCACGAAATAGACGAAAAATGCTATCACAATAGTTAATTTTATTACCTGAACACTTTTGACAATTTTTTCTCCTTGAAAATCGAAAGGCAATTTGAATGACGTGTCTTTATTGTGTGAGATATCACATTTTGTACAAATTATCGTAAATAAACATAGAAATTACTTTTTTCGAGTTTATTTAGTGACTTAATGTAAATTAGGTGAGTCATTGCAATGTTTTCTCAAATACAAAGAAAATTTTCGGCGTACCATCACAGTAACCCTTCGAATGACCATATTTCCGATTTATATAAAATAGTTATAATGGTCATCCATGACGAGAGAGAGAGAGAGAGAGAGATACAAAATTTACAACTTCATTAAATAATAATTCCTGAACATATTCGTTTAATAACTTTATGACTCTCGTCTTTTCTGACATCAATTCTTTTATAGGTTTTAAACAATATTGAACGATTTACAGAACTATTACACATAAATCATGTGTATTCGCGGGACATTATTGTGACTCTGATTGCATATCATGTTCAGTAATATGGAGAAACAGGTTTTTATCTTCCGTCACTCTCCAAGTCGATCGCGATCATTCAACGGTATGAAAGAGCAAATACCGCCGAGCAGGCATACATAATGGTGTAATGACGAGATACGTCCGCGCACGGAGTGCGTGCGTGCGTAATTTGATTTACGTTATCGCCGATATTTATCGAGGAGGTTGTTGACTCTGAACGTAATTCTTGGCCGGCCGTGAGATTAGACGACACTCAACTTCGTCGAGACAAAATTGCGATACAATTTCGCCGTCTGCGTGCCATTATATTTGTCTCGCGACGTGTAAATCGGTAGGTATATTTGAAACGCGCTCTCCGCAGGCGGACTATCGCGAGCGAGAGCAGAGAAACAACTTTCGCTCTTTTGAATATGTGTGTGTGTGTATTTGATCGAGCAGTATCCTTTTTAGTAACAGGTTTTCTTTGAGTATAGATTAAGCAATGATAGCAGTCAATGATGAATTAGAATGTTAAAATTGATCATAAAAATCATAATTGATTGATAAAAATCATTATTATTAGTAGAAATTAAATCGATGAGAATAAATCGAACAATAAAATTTTATTTCCAGTCGGAGCGAATCTTGATGCTTGATAATAATATTCATATATGAATTTGCAAATACATTTTTCAGTGCTATAAACTGCAATTTAATTTGTCGGACTCATGCACGCTTCCATCAATGTTAACTTTAATCTCGATTTAATTTAAATTTTACTTTTTTAATTCTAAAAATTAGAAGAGTAAGTTGAACCGAGATTAAAGTTAATCTTTATTGATGGAAGCGGGTATTAAAACGCAATTATAAAGATAGAAATAACATCAGAAAAATTATATCGATCGTCAATTTGATAATGATGTTACTAAGCATCTTAAAATCGCAAAGAATAAAAAATATATAAAAATTTATAATATACGGACTAAAAGCGCTACTTTTTACTACTTTATTAATATATGAGGAATGTTAATTATTTATTCAAAACATTGCACAGCAATTCCTTTTTATTTTAAATTATTAATTTATTAATTAATTTGTTAAACTAAATATTTCGCGATTTTTGTGTGTGTGTTGTGTGGGTGTGCCTACAAGTTATCTTTTATTCTTCGTAGGTACACTTAAAGATGCCGTCCTTATATATCATCGACAAAGGGTTATGAGAACTTAATTAACGAAGGCGGAAGCGACCGATATTCGAAATTTACCTCACGTCATATTACATAATCGCCGCGCGTCTTAAAAAGCGAATTCACCAACAATTACGACCTGACGCAATCAACCAATCGGAAATATATAGTCACGATTTCGCGCTCATTTGCGCGCCAATATCTCCGACGATCACGGATCGTGAATAGTCCCCTCAAACACTTGTATTAAGATTTGCGTATAACGAAAATTTTCCATATTAAGTATGTATAGTATATTTCGGTCGAAGTTACATTGAAATTTTGTGTGCCAAATCGGACAATAACAATAATTATATTCGCTATCGATGGAATTATCGACTATTTCTAATCGAGATGACTATGCCATTCTTAAACGACCTCTAATATTCCCTCATGTTTGTGTTGTTACCCTTACAAGTTCTTTCGCAAACTCGCAAAGTTGTTGATATATATGTGAGAAACGCCTGAATCATATCGTATATGATTGAAAGCAGATTGTAAAATTACTTGAAAATATCGAAAATAGTTTATATTTTATTCAGTAACGCTTTTGATTACATAAAAATAATTATATTTATTCCACGAAAAAAGTCATTTCTATTTAAAACGCGCATAGCTGTTTTTCTCTTTCAAGAAGCGACCTTCCTGAACATAAAGAACAAATAATAATTTTAAATTACAGCTCACACACAAACAACGTACATAATCTACTAATGAAATATTAAGATCGGAAATTAACACCTGTTGGCGGTCAATAAGAAGTATAAGCTATATGGTTCTCAATTTTACCTCGGACTATCACCGTTCTTCTCTTCAATCTCCAGACGCTCCATCTCCTTCTGCAGCATACCGCCTTCCGCGAACTTATCCAGAGACATATTTACGATAAAAACTGTCGCAGAACTCGCGCACAAACGTAAAGATTACGCGTTTACACTTGTCTCCTTCTATATATATATATATATATGTATATATATATATATGTATATATATATTTATATATATATTATATATACACGTAATTTCTTTCTCTTCTTTCTGTTAAATATGCTTTATTGGCTGAGGTAGACTTTAAACACTGGCACTAAAACACTGGCTGATCTCCCACGCCACCGAGGTGCGGAGAGAGAGAGGAAGGGAGGGAAGACAAGCGTAGAAAAAAAGGTACTGGTGCACTTCTCGCCCTTACGGGAGCCCTCCTCGGGATCCGCTCCGGAATGAGGACCGGCACGGCGCGGCGTATACGTGTCGTGTGGCGACACACGCGATTATATTCCGGCGAATGATTTCGAGATGCTGAAATCTCTCTCCTCCTCGCCGATTACGACGCACGCACTTCCTCACTCGCTCTCCCTCTTTCTTTCCTCTTTGGCTCTCTTCCGACTTCCGTCCCGCGTTTTACTCCCTCCTTCGAGCACGCCGCTCCCTCCTAAGCTGATGACGACGCGATTTACGTCACGGGTAAATGATGATTGTCCCAAGTCGACGACGACGAGGACGACGACGACGAAGGCGACGAAGGCGACGAAGGCGACGAAAGCGACGAAGGCGATGGCGACGATGAGGATAATGATGATGATGGTAAGGACGATAACAACCAACGACGATGATGAGGATAACTATGACGACGGGTACCGTCCAACTAATTTCACTCGTACTCGGAGAGGGAAGAAAACACGCCGCGAATAGCTTCGGACGAATGTCCAAAGGAAACTCGTGCGGGTGGTGAAGCACTAGCTTTCCCCGTCGTCTCCCGATACCTAGCCTTCTAAGCGAGTTGTCCCCTCCCTACCCTTCGCTCTATCTGCATCCCTCTATCTCTCTTCATCGCCACACATCGTGCGCGTCCGCTTCCTGCGTCTTTCTCTCTCTAGGCGCTACCCTCTCTCCCTCGGAGCAGTCGGAGCAGTCGGAGCAAGCCGTTCTCGCTCTCTCTCTCTCTCCCCCTCCTCCTCGTTTTGGGCCGACGTAGGAATTCCCTCGACGTATCGGAGTCGCTCGCGCTTTTTTACCAACCGAGTGTAGTAGACCGGCCTGATGGCGATTGGCCGTCCGTTGGGACGATTCCGGATTCGGGTTGCGCGCCGTCCGATCGCTGGACTTGCCGACGACGGGCGGATCGGATGCACACACGTTGCACACGAGGCTTCCTCGCTGTCTTGCACGTGCGATCAATCGGTGGTCGCGTGGGGTACGCCAAGATCAACACCATCAAAAACTCGCGGCGCCGCTGGTTCACGTTGATTACGTTACGTTCCAATATCGGTATCTGCTGGTCGACTTACGGATACCACCGCAGTACCGCCGCTGTCAATGGCGTTGCTCGAGACGTGGGGGTGTCCCCTCTCGCCCACTCTCCCTCTCTCTAGTTCTTCCTCTCTGACTCTCTCCTTTCCATCCCCTGCACGTCTCCACTCGTTTCACCGTTCGCCGGAGCAAGATTCGATCGTGGCGATCAATGAATGCCGGAGGTAGGATACTCTTGCCGTTCACCGGTGTGTGCGTGTTACACGCGTTGCAGCGATACACGGGGACGGGGGAGGAATTGGAGAACGCACACACTATCAGCACGGATGATTATATACCGGACGGGATATCTGGCGAGAAAGAAGGCTAGTGAACGCTAGGTAGTACTGATATTATATTTTTATAACACGCGCTGCGCGGTCCCGCTGTAAGCCGCGCCCAATCTACCCCCACTTGATATCACAATGGTACCCCACCAAGTGGTGTAGCTTCCCCTTTACGCGCCGGGTGTACCCCACCATGGAGGCGCTCTGTTCGTTGAGGAGGCGGTTTACGACGCGTGCGTGAGGGAAGTATGTACACACTGTCGCCTCCACGCCAATGGTTCTCTCTCTCTCTCTCTCTCTCTCTCTCTCTCTCTCTCTCTCTCTCTCTCCCTTTCTCTCGCCTCTCTCGGAAAAGCGCGGGGATCCGCGCGTCATCTCCTCCCTTTATATTCGCACGAGTTTTCCGATCGTTTGTAATTAGCGAACAGGGACGATGTAATTTGTTGTTAAATTAATTATCGAATTATTCTGTCCATCCGTTGAATCTGTCAGACGGATTAATTCGAAATCTATTAGCGTGAACGACAAATCCGACGTGTATTTCGCGTGTATTTCTTTGTAGGAACGAATGGGATGAGTCGGTCGTATTCGCTGGCGACAACTCAAGGTGAGATGTTGCCGGAGTAATCAGGGTCGATACGCGTCATGCCGGATAGTGCGTAGATAGCAGAAGACGCGCGTCATTGACCGCGAGTGGAGGCGCCGCTCGGTGGACGTTGATGAGTACTAAGATTGGGATACACTGTTGTGCTATTGTGTTCAGGAATGAAATATTAACCCAGTTATTACCGTAATAAAATATTAACGATTATTAACGCGTGTTCTGCATTCATTTCGCTATTGAGAATTAATCCTGAGAGGCTTGACACCACACAACTACCTACCAAAATGCAATCTTATATTCTGAAAACAGGTACTGATAAAATTGATACGATAAATTTTTTTTTAGGTATAAAATCACAAATGATTTCCAGTGGATTATTATGGATTTTCTACAATAAGACGTTATCTAAGCTTTAAGTCTTAATTAATTAGAAATTGATCAATCACAGTTGTGAGAGTAATCGACTATGATTAGTTAGTTTCTTATGGTTATCTTAAGATTTAAAACTAGGCAAAAATTTGCCCTCAAAAGAAGTGTAAATATACTTAGTTTTGGCGTGTGTTTTTTCTCTTGTGAAACTTTTTAGAATATGCAAGAGAGTATAGCACATTTAAATAATCAAATGATTGTTTTAATTATGTATTATTTTAAATTTAATTAAAGAACTATAATTTGCGCATCACTCAACGCGCTATATTTTCATTGTCAGTTATATTATTATATTTTTTACATTATCGAGAGTTTTTCTACAATTTCTTTGTATTTAGATACATAAGAAATTAACGAGATTAAAATCGATACATACTGTTGTCATTATAAATGTTATTTTCGAAAGTTTTCCTAGCTCTATAGCAAAATTTAAGTCATCAATTTTTCAGTGCTGATTGAAACTTTCGAGAATCAAGTTGTCTCTACGTCTTTTCCGCTGTTTGGTCCAACTCCTCTTCTTGTGCGTGTTATCCAAACTCTTCCCTTTCCGTCGCACAATGGCAATCTGAATTTCGATTTGTCGAATCTCACGGGGAACGCAATATCGCTCTTTGATCGTCGACTACTGAAGAGCCCTTCGCCGATCAACTTGCGACCTCCTGCCGGGGGTTGCGACGCATAGCTTCACTGAGTGACTTGAAGTACTGTCACCCATTGTTTCGCGAAATAGATGTTCGATTCATTAATGTCGAAATTGCTGTTAGCGGCAACTATAGACAAATCCGTCGGCACCGGGTTTGCGAAAATCCTTCGAACATGCGACTGCCTGTCGGGATTATCGGTTCGCCGAGGGTTGATTCCGTTACGGAGTCTCTTTGTTCGTCAGGTAGAGAAAAGGAAGGACTCGTCCTCTCTTTTGTGAGCACCCGCAGGTATATGGGTGCCAGGTCGACGGGTACTGCTGTCGTTTCTGCGATCTGCCGGTCATTATCTTCGCCAATGACGAGGGTGTTATCCTTGAAGTAAAATTTATCATTCACGGTACGGCGCATCTGGAGACGATCGGTGAGTAAAGTTTTTGAAACTTTTGCTAATACTTGCAATTAGTTACGGAGAGAAGAATGTGATTGATTATATTATTGCTTTTTCTTCAAGAACCTTTTCTTCAAGACCCGACGAGATATAATGAAAACGATAACATTGATTTTTTCAAAGTGTCTCTCCCAATGATATCTCATCTTCTAAATTGCGTTTACGTATTCAAACAATACGGATAAATCCAGCAATAAAATAACGACTGATAATACGCCACAACGATATGTTTCTCGGCGAAAAACGAATCGCCTTGACTTGAAGCAAGTTTAAAGAAAGAAGAAAAAGGGAGAGACAGAAGAGAAGGGAAACAGAGAAGATACTTTTTTTTAATATCCTTTGTGTCACCCTTGTTCATAAGTCTCTGTATCACGTGTTGTCGCGCGTTTCTGTACCGTGAGCCAGAACGTATATCGACCACCTTGTCTCAATCAACTAATTCCGCTGAATGGCCAATCGATTATCCCCTCGGTCGAGCGTGAATCCACGATGGCTCCCCAGAAAACAAGCGTCTTCCGCCGTTTGCGATTTCTTCCTGTTTTAGCTTCACTTCAGAATTTGCAGCCACGCGCCACGAAATCTTTCGCCCCGGGGCTTGAAGAATGTTCGATATTGTATATAATATATTATACGTAAAGATAATCATAATTGGCAGTTGTAACATATATGTTGTTAATTGTACGAAAATGTTAAGTAAAGAGGAATTGAGTAGCGTGTAAATGCGAGTGACAAATAAAATTCTTTTTATTACCGAAGTGCATATCGGCGCCTTTGTTCCTGATGGTAATTGGAATGGGGGTTAGGATAGGTTCAGGTAACGTTTAAAGATAATTAATAGTTGCATGGCTCGTAAATACCACTATCAGTGAAGCGTGCGGCCCAAGTGCGCGTGGGATCGGCAAATGGTTTCCGGGCGCATAAAAATTAATGGATTTCGGGCTGGCCTTCAACAGGACTCTTCGATTTCGACAGGACTGCTCAAGGTCGATCGTCCGGCGGATGTAAATGAAAGGGAAGCATTCTGTGCGCGCGCATAGTTCCTCACTTAAACTCGTTCAACTATCTTCTTTGAATTCTCCGAAGAGAAATTTCTCGAAGCACGCAATTACTAGCGGTTGCTCTTTAAATGCATTGGCTGAATTTAGAAAAAGAAAAAAAAAGAAACTTTACAATTATTGTAAGATTTTTTAATATTTGATTCTTGTGAGTTTTTAGTTCTCACTGGATCTAAATATAGAATGATAATCATATTAAAGAATCTTATAACAGTTGCAAAGCTTTTTCTGCTGAACGTAATCATTGAAATCGTAGATATAGTGATTCTCTGAAACGTAAATTCCAAGATTCTGTTTTGTATGTGCGATGAATAAAAATTTCTGAAGGTCTAAGAAAATGTACATGCTCACGTAATTTTTTGTATTTTCTGAGCACGTTTGATTGCTGTGTAAATTTTAATCAATATTATAAACTCTAATCAAAAAGTGTACCACAATGTTATACCATTAAATACATTTTTCATAATTATATTCATCATTTTTTATTCTATATCTCATTAATCTTTTTTATCAATGCAGATAATTTTTGAAATAAGTGGAGGAGAGATTTAAATTTTTGAAACTTTTCTATCTTTTGTATAAAATTTACTTTTTAATTTCATAAATTCCTTTCAAATTTATTCCTTTCAACAATTAAAAAATATGTATTGCAGAAATATCAAAATAAATAAATACATTTTACATAATTATATTCATCATTTTTTATTCTATATCTCATTAATCTTTTTTATCAATTCAGATAATTTTTGAAATACGTGGAGGAGAGTTTTAAATTTTTAAAACTTTTCTATCTTTTGTATAAAATTTACTTCTTTTTTTCATAAATTCCTTTCAAATTTATTCCTTTCAACAATTAAAAAATATGTATCGCAGAAATATCGAACGTTGATTTTGACAAAGGAGCGATTAGAAAATATTAAAATGTTAAATATTTCGTATAAATATTAGATACGCAAAACATATTTATTTTACACATCATGTAGCAAACATGCGATTCTAGATTTTAGATACAGTCTTCCTTTTACTCTGAAAGAAAAAAAATAATCTACTAGACATCGACGATTGGATTTCCGATGATTACATGTGGTTTTCGCGTGATTTCATGATATCGAATAAAGTTTCATCAGTGGAACGAACGCGGAAGCAGCTATAAGCTAGGGATAGTTTTAACCCCTTCGTAGATTGGTGAGCACGGCAAGAAGAAGCAACTGGGATATTTCGGAGATGAGGGGAAGAGACAAGCGCGGGAGATGGAAGAAGATAGTGATAGAGGGATGAGGGAGAAATATGCTGAGGGAGGAGCTGAGGAAAAGGCAACGAGCGACGTGCTTGGAAGCAGGGAAGAGAAAGACCGCGAGGGTGCGTAAGGGCGGAACAGCCTCCGGAATCAATAGCGACTACGCATCCTTGGAAAATTTTCGCACCGGGAAGTCGAAAGCTATAACATTGAAAAGCGTTCTTTTCATTCGGCCTATTCTAGCGAACTTTTAAGATTTAGTTTTTATACATTCTTCGGAAGTTTCTCTAACAACATCTATAACTTAAGTGTAGGTTCAAAATTTCTTCGGGATGTTATCTTAATTTAATATTATTATTTTACTCTCATAGTGAAAATTTTCAAATGGATGTTATATTTGAAATGTTCTCCTACAATTTCTTTTACTAAAAATATTTTTCTAGATAATCTTCCGATTAACCTATAATATTAATACTAATAAAATATTCATTTCAACTTAAATAAAAAATATAGTTCTTTTGTTTACTTGTATTCTGAAATTTGTGAAATTATAATAATTTTTCAAAATTGAAAAAGTTCCTCTCATTTTTAGCTCAACAGTTATTATTTTCTCGAAATACCGTGTTTAACAAATTATATTTCTTTTTACTTTAGCATCTGTTGTGTACATATGTGTGATAAAGAGAGAAAGTATTTACATTAATCAATGCTTCAAGTTATATAATCATTACTATCACCATACTAGATTATTTTCGCATTCTTTTCGCATACGGAAGGATAGGAGAGGCAAAGAGATGAAGTAAGGAAGATAAGTCGAGCTGGAGATAGGGCAGAAAAATCACTCACCTCCATCTGTTGCCGACCTGGCCAACCGGAGATTCTGGTAGGGCGGTGCCGCTACCCCTGCAAGCAGGAAAAGACATTCTATAGGATACGCAGGGATGTAAGGACCTGAGGGATTAGGAATCGAGATGGGAATGAGGATAATCGTGTTTTCCTACTTTTTTCAATTTTTTCCTCATTGCTTGTACACCCACGGAAAAATAATCAATTTACGTATAAATACCGCGAGATAAATATTGCATTCTTAATTAACAAATTTTCTACAAAATCATCAAATTTTAATTATTTTATACAAATGATTTTATACACATTATTAAAATAGTTAACTGATACGTCTACCAAGCTATAGGCCATTTTTCTTCTTTTCAACATCACGAGATATGCGTCAGAAAATGCGTAGCACGCAGCCGATATAATTTACCTAAATAAACATCAAGCTGGCGAGTCGTGAGGACAGAGTTCGTCGAGTCACGCTGAGTTTCGCGATAGGGAAAAAAACCTCGCTCGCTTCTCCAATTAACCGCCTCTCGCGACGTGCATATTAATTGCGGTATATTTGATGGTGGCGGCGGTGGAGGTGGGAGTGGTGGCAGCGGTGGTAACAAAGGGGGAAGAGATAGAAAAAGACAAAAAAAACTGAGAGAATTAATAATAACCGCATCGTTTGAGATACGCATCTGGCCTGGTCGTCTTGGCCAGGTGCAACGTCGACATCGTCGTCATCGTCGTCGTCGTCGTCGTCGTCGTCGTCGTCGTCGACGTCTTCCGTGATCCGTGCATATTCCGTGGGCCCTGCTCCTCCACGGCGTTCTTCTTTTACGCTGGTCACGGTAATTAAGAGGCATCGCCATTAAAAATCACCCTCGTCGCGCGCACCGTGTGGAATTTCAATTCGCCAGGGAACCTGTTCGCGGCCTGCGGGGCTGCTTGTGTTTTCACTTTCCATCGCGCGAGTACGAGTATTAATGACCGGAACTGTAGAGCGCTGTAGGATATGCGGTTTTTTGTGAATGCAGTTGTGTCTATATTAAGATTCGGGTACTTGGATTTTATAGACGTTAAAGTGCGCGTTCTTTGATCTTTAATTTCTTAGTGCTACCAACGAAGACCAAACTGAATGATTTTTAACAAATATATGAATGAGAAGTATCTGAGGAATTAATGATTTTTCCATTCATTTACGACTAATAATCAGTATTCGCAAGATGATGTAACAATACTAATTTGAGAAAAATTGTTTTTCTTTTAATGTATTATTGTCTACCGAACAAATCCGTTTTCCAAATTTAACTATCACGTCACAATTTTAAGAAAAACTACGTTAGCGCAAAAAAACAATTTGAGAGCTTTTACATCGGCATTTTTTGAAATTTTGTTAGTGCCATACATATTAACCTTGAGTTTTATTAACCTTGCTTGTAAATAACCTTGCATTTTGTTTATTTCGGTATGATTTCTCATTTTCAAAATTGAAAATAGCTATATAATATTTCATACCGTTTTTTTTATTTAGTTCGATCTAAAGTGCAGTATATAATAAAAATATAAGTATAGTATCACGTGCATGAAAGCATTTTCTACATAATACATATTAAGATAATAAAATAAAATGCCTTTTCCATGTATTACATGAAAAAAGAATTTTTTTCAAATTGTTATATCACAAAAACTCAAAACTGTAATTCGCAGGCAAGTGTAATTTGCAAACTTATTGTTCGTTGATTAAATTAGTTTATAAATATAATAATTGTAATTTTAATCTTAATTAGAAATTTCTTATGACCGAAGGAATTTCTTGGAACAGGAATACTAAAAATATATAAAACGATATAGATTTGAGAAGCTTATAAGAGCGTTTAAAGTGAGTTCTCGAAATATTTTTTGATAAATTGTGTCATACAAACTAATATAATAAACTCATGAGTGTCAAAAGAGGTGTATTTAATCTCTGTAATAATATCGCACCAAATCACAAACGAAATCATCCTGCGATGCAATGATTCCTAATTTAGAGAGAGAGTATTTCTCGCGAGCAGCTGGATTCGAGAATCGAGAAATCGCGGATCGCTTTTTCAGCGACTGTTCGGCAATTTTACGATCGTGTTAAGGCGGAACGAACGGAGTCCACAAAAGTGCTCAACCGACTACAAAGAGCAGCATAAATCTGGGGAATAAAGAAGAAGGAGGAGAGAGGCGCGTGACAATTATTGCACGTCAGCGTACCTTCATTTCGGAATAATTAAACGGGGCCCTTTTACACCTGCGGATCGCGCGTATCCATGAAATCCGGCGTCCACCCGTGACCGGACACGAGGCTCGATCCGGGATCTCGATAAGAGATCGATAAGCGGGG